ATCAATACTACCTCGAGTCGAGCAGATACTGAGCCTTCCGTAGTACAGAGTCGTTGGGAAAGCCTAAACCGCCATCATGTCCGACGCTTATTTCGACGAGTACGACCACTACAACTTCGACGACAAGCTCGTCCATTCAAGAGGAAGCGGCAAGAATCGGTCCAAGGTGGAGGCCGAGCAGAACAAACAGACCGATAATTGCGGTCATACTAGAAAGATAGTCAATAACATGAGAAATAATGAAGCTAACAACAGAGTGACGCAAGCAACGGCGATAAAACATTAACTGAAATTAACAAATATTTACGGTAAGTGCTACTATGATTTCCACTCAATTTGAGCCCTTGTGAACTTCCGTATACATATAATTTTTATTATAACGTATTTTTCATTTTTGGTGGAGTTAGTGAGAAAAATCCCTTTAGCGTAGTATTGATGTATGCAAGATATAATACTATTATAGGTATGTGTAAGATAGATTTCCCATTCAAACTACGCTGGACGACGAAGAATATTAATTTCTAACTTCTTGATCACAGTGGGTTATAATTATTTTGTATTAATATGTTTGGAAACTTGGCAAGCGATTTAGTTGGTTACCATATATATTAGTCAACTCATACAAGTAATGTCCATGTAAGAATTTTTTTCACATTTGATATATAGATATCATTATCATGAAAATATTGTAATAATAATTTCGACGCAACAGTCTCAGTGTCCCACAAAAAGCAACCCCGGAAAAGAGACGCGTGAATGCACGTTCATTATAGAGAGGTCAAGGCTTTGTCGGAAACAGCTGTCTGTTGCCATGCGCGAGCGACCCACTGCGACATAAATAGAAATATTGATCCGGTCATCTATTTACACGCAATACACGTCCTTAAAGTCTAACATTATTATAGCAATTTAAAGGAAACGTATTCATAGTGTAAGCGTTAGCGATAGAGCACATTTTAAAGGTGAAGTGAAGGTCACTAAAACACTGCGCACTTCGTGTTAGTACATGCCAAACTTGCGCTAGTGTTGAGATGTTTTGTGGGCTGATTTGTGTTGATGTTTGTGCTCATTTACTGTGGCTAGTATATAGTACTGCCTATAAACTATAAGTAAGGTGTAGAATTGATTTGATATTGAATGTAAATCAGTGTTTTTAAAATTTGTTATATATTCGTTTGATTGTGAAGGTATAATTTTCACATTAGAATATGTTAAAATAAAAGATATTTGATTTTATACAATACAGTTAAAAAACGTGTAGGATAAGGTTCATTTATAAGAACAAATATTAATATACGCTACTTCTCTTTAATTCTAATCTTTTCCTTTTCTTTTCGTCCACAGAATCGTTGACGTCGAACCAAAGCATAGTAGAGAAGACCAACGGAATTGAATCGCCTTTTGGATTGTGGGACCAGAGTTGCTGCAATGTCTGCAAAGCAAGGTTGACAAGGCAATGGACTCCAGCCTAACTTGGAAGCCGAGCAAACCGAGCAAACGTGTTCCATGGGTGTATTTCACACGCCTGCGAAGTTGATAAACTTCGCAAAACTTCCATTGTTCATCGCATGTCACCATCAAGCGACAGATGCAGTGTCCCTTTGTTATATTGTTAAATCGGCAAGGATTGGGCTTACCAACACAGGATGATTATGCTGTGTGCGGGGCCCATTCTTCCCGTGGGACATAATGCTTCATACGGGGACCTTGTCGGGAATGACCTTTTTGTAGACTCATTTCATAATTATTATTTATCTTTGCCTGGGGTTAGCTTTCACAGGAGTTTACAATTTATGTTCGATTCGTTTTTTTTTTCTATTTATAGTAGTCAGTTGCGGGACTTCCGAGTCAAGCATGTTGTTCTTCTCAAGTGGTACAAATATACTAAGGCATATCTGGTAACTTCTCAAGGATGCCAGTTAGCTACACTGAAGAGCACGAGTTGAGCTCCTCTTGCTTACCAGCTGCTCATAAGTGCCCATGTTGTGATAATAAAAGATAATTTTTTATGCGATGTATATCATTTGCCCAACTCTTGTCCTTGATAAATACACCTGTCTTTGACCATGAATAGAAGGTGAATAACTTTGTTGAGTGAGTATTGGAATGGAATAAGGTGAAAATATTACATTTACAGACGGAAAACTGGTTTGCCTTGTATCATCTCAAACATGTTCAGTGTTATTCAAAATAGTTTAGACTTAAACCCAATTCAAAGCAAGTCGCACTAGATCTTGTTATCTTATCAGATTTCTGATCTATAGTGCAACAATCCTACAGTAAGGGCGAGGGGACGACATTACACAGGAGGAATCTTGGAGTCAGAGAATGAAACTAGTACATTACTTGCCAAACGAATCTGGTTTTGTAGCACGGAAAGTGCTCTAATTGAAAGCCCATAAGCATCTCAGAGGTGCAAGCACTAAATGAATACTGAACAGAAAAGTTTTTGCGATTTGCTTGGCGTTGAAATAAGTTACCTTATCAGAACATCTGGAGAGAAAGAGCAGTTTACTCAAGATTACTTTTATCTCGAATCCAAACAAGATGCTCATTGCCGAAACACGAAGATTTGCTCTGAAAACTGCATCAAATTGAAAGTAAATGTAGGAAAAAAATATGCATTTGCTCCCATAAAAGGACAGGTATTCACATGTACATTTTAAGAGGTCAGTGTGAATTAGGAATTGATCTAGCAACTCATATTAGTTTAAAAGTGCTTAAAATGGTAATTAATAACCATTCACAATGAACTTGAAGAACGGCAATTATTGTTAATAGAAGGATGTGTTTTTCAGTATTATTTTGAATTATTACGAGCTGTAAATATAATATCTTAAATGTCCCAAAGTTAGGCTGCTTTATAGCAATTGGGACTGGGTAAGTTTTCACCAAAAAATGTTGAGTATTTATATGTTGCAGACCTAAATTTGTGTGTTCATGAGCATATGTTGAGTTAATGACACACTTTTGTCATGTGGCATATATATGATTTTGTCAATTAACCACTATCCTGGCAATTACAATAAAAAAAAGAGAAAAAATGGTGGGCATCTCATGGTATCTCCATTTGTTCATGTGAGATATCCATAAAGCTTTACAGACTAATAACTTTTCATTGTAACATTAGCATCTTGATGGCACTTGCTCCATTTTCCTTCTAGAGTCAGGTCATTTTCATGTACCTTTTTTTCCTCAGTTCTCATAACCGAACTCTGTTTTACTCCTCTATACCTTCATGATTACCTTAATATTTGGTTCTTTCTTGTTCTCATTGCAGGACTGCACAAACTTTATTTTTCATGACTGATCTTTATTATTCATCTTCACATATGTTTTTTTTTTTTTACTTTGAGTACACAAAAGCCTAACTATTTCATTATTCTCACTTTGCTTCTTTCTACCTTTTCATCATCAAAGATATTTTACTATGTAAACTTTCCCTTATTTAAGCCTTCTTTTATCCATTTATAAACTTTTTTGCAGATCCTTCCTTTTCACATATTACTTCCTACTAAACTTTAGTATGTAATTATTGAAACAGTACTACAAATTCAGCAAGCTACATTCTTGTTTGTACATTATTGAAATGTCAACTGTAAATCCACAGACCTGTTGGCAAAAATATTTATAATGATGTGATTAATGTGAAAATATTTATAATGATGCACCAATTGTCCATCACTTCTAATCTAATCTTTCCCAAGATAGAGATAATGTAATTGATAAGGGAACAGGCTTACAAAACACATATGATAACCTCAGGAATCATGTCATCAAAATTCTTGTATTTTATCATAACTTTGTGTTTGAAAAAAAAACTTATTAAATAAAAAGGCTGCAGATAAAAATATTAGATCCTTAAAATGTCAAATCTTGAAAGTTGACTTCTTAGGTTGTATTTAAGACCATTATATCTCAGAAACAATAACAGAAAATCAGCACAAACATACTAGAAGATGATAATGGCCTGGAATTTTGTTGAATTTAATGCTTTTATTAATATACACTATAATAAGACAAGACACAGGGTTAGCTACCTATACAGGTAAAGGGTCAATAAATGAAAAGTTAACTTTAGATGTGAGACCTTGTGATACTAGTAATGGAAAGGGAAAGAATCAATGAATGGTATAAGGTAAACATTAAAATAATAACCCTAGAATGTCAGGAAGAAATTTAAAAAATACAATCCTCAACCTCTTTCCATAAACTGGTACACTGAACAACCAGCTCTTTGGGAATGTGTCACATATATGGCTTGTTCTACCATTGATTACCAGTCGTCACGATGTTTTACAGCTATTCAAGACTACTTTTCCATTTTGCGTCTGTCCATTTCCACCTTACAGAGAGAAAATATTAAATGTTTTTATTTCCTACTTTGGTGGTTGGAGATTTCTAATTTTTCCCCAATGGATATCTCTCATAATTTTCTTTCCAGTCTCTGCTAACCCTCTGTTTCTATATTATCTTTCAATATACTTCTTTCATGTTATCCTTTCTTCCCTTATCCTTTCATGTTATCCCACACACTTTTCCATTTTTTTTCCAGGGAAGAATCATCTGTTTCTTGAAATTAAATGCAGGAAGAAGTAACATACAACTGGGAATGTTTTTGTATATTTGTCTACAACTTAATATATAACTTTTTTATTTCCACAGAATATATGGTCATGCATTACATTATGCAAAATTTTATCCTAAAAACTTAGGAATTAAAAATAGATGATTTCAAATAGTTGGAATTATCACATATGGAAAAAATAGAGGGATTGTATATTAATGGAAAAAACAAGATGAATGGAAAATATCATACATCAACAGGGGAATTAAATATATGATTCAGTACAGTGAAAATAAGAGCCAACAAATACAGTGTACTTACATCATGCAGAACATAATATAAAAACATAATTGTTTAACAGTCTTTCTATATAAGTTACAATATGCTTATCACAACTAACTATTACAGGTAAATTCAACACAAAAAAGGAGCT